AGCTGGAGCTTTATTTTGTTCTAATAGTTGTACTAAGTAAAGCTTTCTGAGTTTGTATGTATTTGCAGCATTGTAAAAGAGGTCTCAACGGGCAGTCGTTGACATCATCTAGCGCAATTCAAAGCAAATGTATATGTGTAAGCGATAACAAGTATTGGATTCAGCTCCGTGTAGGGGTAACCCATTTTAGTTATGGGTTTATGAATACAATAGCGCGTCCCAGTGCTACTTCCATGCGAAGAATGGGAAAACAAACATAAATCCGAAATAAACGTCTATACTCAAGAGATTAGTCAAGGTCTTGTTGCGATACAGCAGTCAGGACCATTACGGTATCGGAAGATCTCATACAAGAAGACAGTAATTGGGTAAAAGTGTGTTCCAATTTTTATCAGTTGTCTTTCTTGCGTGTGGGAGTTCAAATCCGTCATACTTGAGTTGTAGAGTAACGTAAAAGTCTTGTTAATATTGATTAGCTACTATGTGTATATGTTGCGAAAATAGTGATAGCAACGCACAAGCTTTCATTGCGAAAAAAATCAATGTATCTTGGTAATTCAAGTTATTGGTCAATAATCATTTCCAGATTTATAGCATTCACTCGTCAGCCCCATCCATTAGGTACCCCGTTGAAGAATGCTTTCTAGGGTGAAGCAAAGAACATCTTTTGAGTAGAGGGAGAGCTTATTCCGTAAGGCTCATGGTAGCTATTGTATCAACAGCTGATGGGAGAGCGTTATGAGTAACAGTATAATCACATTTAATATGATACTTGTACTTTTATCTCATCAGAAATTGGATTATGCGCCTAACTCGATGCGCTTAGTTTTAGGTAGTTTGATGAAAATCAGAAATAAAGATGCAGATAGTACCCTACCCTAAGGAACACCACTAGGAGAAGGATACTTCATAGAAAACGCTTGTCGAATTTTAACGGTTATTCTCTTATCTTAGAAATATTGCAATTTTGTCCCAGACATGAAAGGCCTCTTGAAATTTTCAGCAACAAAAATTACATGTATGGCACATTTTAAAATTAAGTCTTTTTCGTAAACGCAATTTCGAACACGTCATCAAATATCGTGCGACATCTTTCCACTCGTCACAACTACTAATCTATCAAATCAATAATAATATATTAATATCAATGAAATGAACATTAATGACTAAAAGTGCTTAATAGATAGGAGAGTATGCTTTATTCACCAAGCCATTGTTTTGATGAAATAGGTTTTGACGGGGCGGGCCAGCTAAATTTTTTCCTTCAATCTGGTGAAGCATTTGTGCATAACAAAAGGCCGACAAATATATACCAGCTTGCCATATGAATAGAAAAGAGGTTGATAAGCTCTGAATAAAAGGAGGAAGTAATGTTGCAGTGTTAATGCGAAAAAAATTGTAAATTTAGATTGGAAGTCCCTCAAATATTAGGGAATTGACATCGCAGAAATGGTGATTTGAAGCCTCTTTTCTAAAATGAGCAAGAGGATATTGCTTTTTCTCATTTGTTCTTCTCTTAGTTCCACGATATCGACATCAAAAAAGCAGAGTCTATTTTGGAGACATTTGAGCAAGTTGTACAAGACCGACAACAAGAGAAACTCATGGGAATTATGGGTTAGTTGCTACATTATTCCTTGGATTTGAGAACGTAGTCTGATATAAGAAAGCAAGCACTCACAATGGCTCTTTTTCTATTCAAAATACGTTTGTCTCATTAAACTTGTTACAGGAATACGACGCCTGCTTCAATCGAGGTGGGGAAACATTTTGAAGGAGGGTCAGGAAGCTGTGTGGCAGAACATGGACCATCCACTTCCCCACTATTACTGTAATTCGAGTCATAATACCTATCTAGCTGGATTGCAAATGAAGGGCGAAGCCACCGTCGAAGGTTACATCTATGCATTGAGGAGAGGAGCTCGCCTCTTA